TTTCCATTGTTGCATGTTTCCAAATCATTCTACCTGTCTCCCTATGAATTTTGTTAGATTCCTTTGAATCTCTTCATAATGTTTTCTTCCAAAATTCCCAGAGCAATGAATTCCACAATTTAATTAGAATGTATAAAATATCACCTTTGTGTTTTAAACCCAGTAGGTGATCACTTATTTGCAGCCTCAGCGCATTCTTGTTAGTAGAAAAATCTTTCCATTTGTTCATGATTTAAGTATTTCTGCCATCCCTTTCCTTAGAAACGTATTTTCCAAGCTGAAGAATTCTATTTGGTTTCTTCTCACGTAGAAATTTTCCAACCCTCTGATTATCCCTCTTGGTCTTTTCTGTTCAGGATGTAGCTGCATGCAATTCAAGGGAATAATGGGCTAACTCAGTGGTACAATTATATTCCTCCCCATTTGTTATTTAGTTCCTAACACTATTTTCTTTCTTGCCATCAACTGACATATCCAGAAAAATATTCCCAGTAGCATCAAAATTTCTTTTTCCATTGTGAGGAAGCAAGCACACAAGGAGAGGAGGTTCTTCCCTGTGTTCTGCTTTACATTTGCCCAAATGGAATTCATTTCCCATTTGATCAGTGTCACCTAGTATCATGAGAATATAAGCATTTGTGTTTCATTAAGAGCCTTCATCTTCATTGATAGCTCTTTTCATATTCAGTCATCTAGTCAATCCCACTTACTTGCAGATTTTGGCAGGTATCTTAAATTTAAAAGCCTTTACAGAAATCCTTGTGCCTTTAGCAGTTGCCAAGCAATCTCTTTGTTTTGCTTTCATCTTTAAAAAGTATGCCTAAGTTCCTTACTTGGAAGCAAACTTTACTTTTCAAATAATGTCTTTTTCACTTTAATACCTTCATGTTCTCTCTCTTTTATGTTTTGGCTTTGGGAGCTTCCTATTGCTTTTTCTTCATGTTTTCTATACCTTTACTCTCAAGCTGCAATAACCTGTCTTGTAAATGGTTTCTGCAATGTTTTTCAAACATTTTGTGCTTTAGTATGCTTCTTTTGTTTTCTTTAACTAGCTTCTTCACTTTTAGGTAAGTTCCCTATTAAACACTCCTCTGGTGGATTTTTGTTTAAAAAAAAAAAAAATTTGATTCCTCATACATGAGTGTGTGCAACACTTCCTTATTTTTTAATTCCCTTGTGGGTTCTGTAATTGCTCCTATATGGTTTTTTTTTTCCCACATCTGTAAATTTAGTTTCTGATCACACTGGTATATTTAACATCTCAGTATAAAAAAGTGATGTGCACATAACAAGCCTAAGAATGTTCCTTCAGTAGAAGAGTGTGAGTTCCTCCAAGCTGTGTTTATGCAGAAGGTCACCCTTCAAGGAATGGAATGTCACTGTTCTTACCAGCTCTGCACCAGCTGAACTGAAGGTGTTCTTAGGAGGTTGTCTGGAAGCAAGCTTATTTCTTTCATTATGTTTGCCAATCTCACAGGCAGCTCTTGTCGCAGAAACATAAATGAAGTCTTTTCACAAGCATTTTCAGATCCTAAGACCAATACATCAGAACGAAGTCAATATTTATGGTAAAGAACTACACAAACTTACTTTATTACCTAAGAGGCCTATACCTTGATTTCAAAGCTGACTCAGCCAGGCTATGCAGGTAATGCAGTGTTTCATGGCAGCAGCCCACTTGTATTTCAAAATTTATGGCATACTGCAACTTTTCTGTTGCATTAATGAGAATCTCCAGTATACAAACAAACTAATTCAACAGTTACAGACCTATACTGTTCAACTTAAAATATGGCTTCTATCCACGTATATTGTTCATTTTATTTGCAGCAAACATTGACTCTAACCAGCACTGATCAAACAATATGTCATTCTGAGCATGTCAGAGAAGCAAATTAAACCAGTACAGGAAACTATTTCTGAGAAGGATGCTTAAGAAAGTATCATAGTCCCATATAACCTGCTTTTCATCACTGATCTTAGTGAATTATCATAACTCATCCTCAAACACTTTAAGGAAATTAATTCAGTAGTATTGATCTCATTTTCAACTAAATCTGTTGCAGTTTAAATTCAGTCTTACAGGTACAGAAGTCAGGTGAATGAATTCACATGAACAGTGAGAAAGAAATGAAAGTAGGACAGCTACTCTGCTTAGCCATTAGGATACTAATACATTGAATTTGTTACACTTTTAAAAGCTAGAAGTAAAAATACTGCCTCTTTTGATAACTGACCTCTGCTTTTGTAAGAACAAGTGTCATCTGTGGGGGTGGCAATTAAATACGGTTATCAAAATCAAGGCCTGCTTTTACTCCCACAAAGCTTGTTTTCCTAGGCAAGAAAGGGTGCAGCGTGGGGAAGAAACTAAGAAATGCTGTGCATCTTTCTCAGCCAGACTTCTTTCTAGACTTAAAGATTGTCACGTAAACAGCATCTGAACATCCTAACCTGCCCATCTGCTGCAGTGAAGTGCATACTTCAGGTCTGGTGTTTCACAACAGGTATCTCTTAAAAATTAACTCCTGTGTTACTGCTCAGTTCACTCCTTCCATTTGGCAAGGGGAAGTTGGGGAATAAGATTAAAGGAAGGGATGAGGAAAGAAAAAAGAAAGCTGGGGGTGCCTTAAACATGAAAAACCTTCACCAAATTGAAATAGAGCAGTTTACTTTAAAGTAGGCAGAATCAGACACATAATAAACTACACTGATGCAAGAATGTCAGTTAAAAAAAATGAAAAATTTACAAGAAATTCCTCCACAATGGCACTTACCAGCAGTATGCACTGTCTACATATGACCTCTGCCTAGAAACCTTTCATTCTTCTCCCTAGTCAGATTGCATTTCAGGCATGACTGTTACTGGCCTTTCCATTTTCTTGGGTAGAATTCCAAGAACAAATCAGATTGGAGGTATTAGAGTGTAAATGTAATATTTAAATGCCTCATATACTCAGAAAATTACATTTCAGAAAATAGTTTTTGTATCTGAAGGTCTTATCTTTGCAATCTTGGGTCAAACATGCAAGGCAGTATAGGGCAGGCAAATTGAATAGGCAAGTGACTCTCTTCCCCTGTGCAGCTACTGTCTATATCTAGGCAAAGAATGGGTAAAACTCCTACAGAAAATACTGTGGTCTTATAACCCAAGAGTAGACCTAAATTTGCTTATAGAACATTTCACTTTTTTAAAGTTAGCTTTACCAGATTTTATTATTTCCTCTTTGACTGCTCTCACTCTTACAAATGGAGAAAAAAAATTCCTTAATGAAAACACGATCAGATTATAATAGCTACAGAATGTGTTATAGACAAATATGTGTTATAGACAAATACTGTCTCTGTCTTGCACTCTTTTTTATTTGTTATTAGTTTTTACTCTCTGTGATTAAATCCGTAAGCAAAAGAAAGGAAAAAATACTGTAGAAATTTTCAAGATTATTTTTACCATAAAGGTAAAAAGGTTAAGGTACTAAGAGAGAATCTTTTGACATAAGGAAACAGTGTGGCTTAAAAATAAACAATGATTTTATGGTAAGAAATTTATCAGTAGTAAAATAATACAGGTCAAAGCAAACTCTGAATTGCAAGATTCTTTACTTAAAATACAGCAGCAACAGAACATATGGTGGAGCTCCTGTAGGAATCCAGAGTTTTAAATGTCAGATACATTTCATTGCCACAAGTGAAACGTTGAATAGATGGATGAAGTGACAGCAGATAATTGTGAGAAAATCTCCTTTGTAAATCTTCCTGCTTATACAAAGTTTGGGGTTCTAGAATTAGTTCTCACTTAGGTTTTACTTGCAAAACTATAAAAAGCCATGAAACTATTAACTAGTTAAATATATAACATGTAAACATGTATGCACACCAAAATGCCTTGGGTATGGAAACAGAACATATTATAGAATGTCTCTGACCTCAGACTTTGAAAAGGTGTCTCAGTGTGAGTTACACAACCTTTCTCTATATGGTCTTTGCTTTAAAGCAGACTAGAACAATTTGTGTGAACCCTTTTGTCTCCAAGCTGACAGTCAAACCTGGAAGCATTAGGAGTGATTTTGGCACTGTCAGTGTCCTGTTACTGATTTACTCATTTTCAAGACTAGATTCCAAATCCTCCAGGATGGCTCTTGTTGTCTGCATCCTGTTCTTTCTCTCACACACCTTCTAAAACAGCAACGTTTGGGTACAATGTTTCTGTAGGGCACAGGCAAGTGACTGAGAAGTGATGACTGTTTCAGCCCCTCGGTGCCAACTGGGGCTCAAGGCTTCATGTGTTCGGAAGATGCCTTTAAAAGGCTGCATGCTGCTTAGCAAAAGGCTTAACCAGTCTCACCTGTCTGAGTCACTGCTCTAATGCTACCAGTTGTCACAGCTGTTCCCACCCTCTCCCCAACACTGCGGATTCTGCAGGAAAACACCCAGCTACCCTGCTGGTGCCAAAAACTGGAGTTTTCAGCTAAATTTCAACCTTGACACAGTTGCGGTCTCCTGGAACAAGCCAGCTGGGCCTTATGCCCCAGAAGGAAGCAGAGCCCTTTTCTGCCAGAAAGCACAGCATTCACAGATAAGGAGCAGCAGGGCAGCGCTGACGGGGTGAGGGGTCGCGGCCGTCCCGCTCCTCACGGGCACCCGTGGGAGGAGGGGCAGCGGTCGACAGCTGCTCAGCGGGAACTCACCGAAGTCCAGAAACTGCTTCATGGAGAGCGGCGAGGGGGAGAAGCGTGAGTAGAAGTCCACCTGCTGCGGGATGTTGCCCGGGGAAGCGCTGCCCGGGGCAGCGCTGCGCAGAAGGGCGCGCAGCAGCCTCATGGTGCGGCTCCGTACCCTCAGCTCAGCCCGGCCCGGCCGCCATTTCCCGCCGCGCCGCTCCCCCGGCCCCTGCCCAGGCCGCAGCCGCCTCCGCCGCGCCGCCGGGAGGAGGTGCCCGAGGGGGGCGTGTGTCTCCGCCCGGCCCAGCTCCGCAGCGGCGCGGGGCGGAGGAGAGGGCGGCTCTGAGGGAGCGGGGCGATGGTGTCTTCAGCCGCCCGGCAGCGCCTGAGGCGGACGCTCAGCTGCCCCCGGCGCCTTGAGGGCACGACGGCAAAAGGCGACGCTCGCTTCGTGGCGGAGCCCGGCCACGGACAGGTACGTGGCCTTACGGGTGCTGGTCCCGCCGCCTGCCCGGCGAAGGGGAGCTGTGAGGGGGCCGGAGGAGTTGTTGGTGCGGGGGCCGGGACCGCAGGGACAGTGGCGAGGCCGAGAGATGCCCGTGCACCAGCGGCTCTCGCCTGGCATTGGGGTGCCCGGGGACTCGGCCGTGCGGGCTGAGCGCACCCAGGGCTCCCCCTCGCCCTGGGATGGGGCCGTGCCCGACAGCGGAGACTCGGCTCCCAGCTTGGGTGACCCGCGGACTGGAACGGGAAACTGCAGGAACTTGTGGAAGCGCTGGCGTTGTCCGTAATGCTGGCGGGAGGGCAGAGCCTAACCCGACTGCATCGGCCGGGACTTAAACAGCCATGTGTCTTCTCGCTGTCGCACCTGTGTCTGCCCAGCTGCGGGGTGGGCTGGGGTTTCTTTCAGCTACCAGAAAAAAATATTATCAGTCAATCAAACAAACAAAAAACACAGAGGAAGAATAGGGCTTCTGCCTATACAGATGCACTCCTGATTAGTCAGCAATGAGCACAATATGTATCTGTATTGGTAGAAAAGCACTTGGACCATGTGTCACAGTGAATCACTTTACTGCCTGTTAAAACGCATCTTGTGAGGTACCAAATTCTGTATTGAATGGTTTACTGTCCTGCTCTGGTAGAAATATCTAGAATACTAACCAAAAAAGGGCTATTAAGAGCGATTATAAGCATTTTTGATAAGTTTACTGTGGTATAGATATCTAAGACATTTTTGACACTAGGTTTTCATCTCCATCAGATAGATCTACTGGTACAGATAAATTTTGATACCTGGTAGCTTGAGCTAGGTGCCTCAAAAGACCGACCCCCAGACAGAGAAATTCCTGGGCAATTATTATTACATGTAAACTCTGCACTCAACAGTGTGGATCACTACCCATATTACAGTCTGGGACCTTCTTGGCCTTCATTGCTTTGTTGTTTTGTTACCAAGTGTTTGCCACGTGGTCATCTTCACATCCTCTTAGGTCTGTTTCTATGGTAGTTTCAGTCAGTTCTGTAGTCCATGTTACAATGTGGTTGCTCCAGCTATTAATTTTTGAGTAATATTTAAATTACAGTTTTGTCTATTCTAACAATAATGTTTAGGCTGTTAGTTCCAGGTTTCACTGTGTATGCCTGTTCTTTTCAACTGTCATCCATCTTTGACTTAAACAATATAGCCTTATAGCTCAGCTTGCTGTAACAATTCTAGTTACTTATGTCAAGCAAGCACTTAGCTACTTTCAAATAATATTAATTTTTCAATAATTCCTTTTTTTTGTCAGCATACCTGCTTTAATAATTTAGTATTTGATACGAGTTTAACCTTGTGCCCTAGCAGAGTTTGAAGGCAATTCACTCTATTAGTTACTACATAGGCCATAATTCACACACAGGGACAGAGGCGCATGTACATCTATACCTGTGTACAGAGTTACTATGAAAAGTTCCCCTTGAGTTCAGTGGAATAGATCAAATCCATTTACATTTACGAGTTGCTCCTTGAGGACAGGAGTTTCCAGTATGGCAGAGTTGAGGGTTAATGAGCTCCAGATAGTGTCCCACCTGAAGAGTTGCTGGTCATAGCTTGCTGGGGTGTGGGAGAGTTCAGAGGGCCTCTCTTGGTACTGCTCTTTATTGGGTCAGGAGATGCTTGGCTTTAGTCAAAAATATGTTTCCATCCTAGCCGTAAACCAAGTTTGTAACTACTGGAAATTTTGGGGGAGAAAAGTCCAGTAACAATGGTGCCGTTTCATTTGCACTGCAGCTGGGGGAGGTAACTCCTGAAATCATAGAGCTAGCCTGAGGAGGTGTGGGAGGGAATGCACCATCACAATTCCCCCATGTTTGAAGTCAGTTCATGGTGCTCCACAGAATGACAGTTTGGTCACCTCTTGCTTCTCTGCCTATAAACAAGCTAACGTTATGTTCCAGTTGTAATTTGAGGGAAATTTTTGGTTAGCTAATTATTATGGTTTTGTTAAATGTTAGTAATATGTTTCAGGAAGGCCTCTGCAACAGTGCCATCCACCAAGTTATTCTCCACATAATACTGTTCAATACTGTTCAGTAAGAAGCATTATCACAACTTACCTTTTGCATTTCAGTGGGCAAGGTGCCCTCATGACCTTACCTTATAATAACTGTTAACAGTAGATTGTACCCACAATGAAGAAACATATATAGAGTGGAATGTATTGTAGTTACCGTATTGATTAAAATAAAGAAGTGAAGGTCTCCAGCCTGTGGGGGACTTGCTGATGTGTGAATCAAATTTGGTTCATGCTGGCAATGGTTGCTCCTGTGAGAAGGATAAGCAGTCCTTTGATGACTAACTGGATCACCAGTGGAGATGTGCTGGCATCATTCCCAGTGCCATTCCTGAAAACAGTATCAACAGTGGATTATGCCCTGTATTCATTTGCTTTTTTTATTGTGGATACTTGTATTTGCCCCCTACATTTATGTTTTTATCAACTTTTCAATTGTTGATACCAATTTGGTTTCCCTTAAACAAATCTTGTACTTGTGACTTGTGTATGACTTGATAATGGGGATGGATATCCTATGGCATCCATTAGAGCAGTTGTGATACAGCAATCACATTAATTCGGTCAGTGCTTTGTTGGATTGCCCCCATTTAAGGCTGTCTTATCTCTTTTTAATGTTGCATTGCAGTATGGTAAACATTTGATTCAGTCAGCCTCCAGATGCAGTTCCCTGAGCACTAACAGTAGCAATAGTATGTTAGAATGAAGCAGGATTAGATTGGTTTTTTTCATCTGGTTTCTAATCCAACTGTACCTTAATCTTTATGCTGAAAACTGAATGCCTTGTTCTGCTCTGGCCAGGCAGTGGTGGCTGTTTGGGTGAACAGACAGCTTGTCTGTCTCTGCAACACTTCTGCAAATACAACTTGTTCGCAGGTTTTTCTTATTGCTGCTTGTAAGCCACTCCAAGAACACCAAGGAGTAGCTCACGCTGCTCAAGTTTCTAATAGTTTGGGACTTGTACTTGAGAATTGCTCTGCTCAAAACCATTTTGTGATGGTCTCACAGCTGTGAGCCAGCACTAGTTTAAAGCAGTGCCTACAAGCAGTACATCGAGTCTTTGTAAACTGTTGTGATCTCTTATGATGGCTCTGGATTGGTTTAATCTTTTAGACGTATATTTTACTGTTTTGTTGTTTTGTGTTTCAGCTTTACAGACATGCTTTAAAAACTGGCCTTCTGCCTAACGTTATCTTTGGACAGCAGTCCCCAGCCAGAAGATGGCAAAGGCTGAAAGAGGTTACATAAATCATTGTACACTGTAAGCTAGAGACCATATACAGCCATGTAAACAGTGAGCAGTTTTCTCAGGAAAAGTTGTGCAAGATGAGCACTCACAGAAGTAACTGTGGATAATTCTTTAAATGCTGTGTTCAGAGAAGAATCTCTCTGCCTAATTTACCTAATAGTGTTTTCCTTGTCTTGTTTAAACGATTGATCAGACCCTGATCCATGTCAACTTGTTCTGTTAGAATACTGGAGAAAATTTTGAATGTTCTTTCTCCCCTAAAACCGGTTGCTCTCATTGATGACTTTCTAGGGGCTTGCTCTGATGTGATCTAGTGTGACACTGGCCAGAGCTCTAATGTACTTGTTTCTGTAAATTCTTATGCAAACCGAAGAGGAGAAATGTATTATTTTTGTTAGTCTGCATTTTTTGTACTCGTATTCATGCTGGTGGTGTTGAAATTCTAATACATCTGGATCAATAATTTAAATGGGACAGAACAATTCAGACTTCAAAAGAACTGAAAACAATGTTTAGTTGAACTTCAATTTAATTTATTTTTTTAATATTGCAGGGCACTGCATAGAAAGACTTTTCACATCTGATAAGGCGACATTGGAAGTTCACCTTCAGTTCTTGGGTGCTGCATGTACTAGAGTTTTTTTCCTTTTCTTCAAGGTCCTCCAAAGTAGGTGCAGCTCAGATTAAGAAAAAAAGCTTAAGCTGCCAGATACGAATATCATTAGAATATTTCTTTTCTTTCAGTGATTTATATGTTTGGCTGCAATGCCTGCACAGTCATCTGGCCCATTTAGCCATGTCTCTTTTCAGCCTGTGTACTTAACCTGCACAAATTGTTTGTTGTTCTTAGGTTTGTCTTCATTCTTAGGTTTTTATGGGTAAGTTGAGCTTTTACAATGGTGGACAAATTCTTAGGGATTCATTGGGTTTTTTGTGCCTTTGGTCTCTTTTTTGTAGAGGTAGAAATAAAAATATATACAAATGTGGTCAAAAATACAGAGAGATTTCTACAGGAGTTATCAAACTAAGCAGATTTAAGAATAGATGGGTTTATTTTTACCAAGTGTATAATTAAACTGTGGAGTTTGTGAATTTTTGCCATGTGCAGCTTTGTGATTCAAGATCAGGAGGCAGCTGGAGAAACGTTATGATTATCATGGATGCTCTTAGTCACACAGTTTAGTTTTAGGTAATCCTGTCAGGAGCTATGACCTTTACAGGTCCCTTCCAATTTGAGATACTATTAGGATTCTATGTCTGTCTTTTGGATACAGGAAAAATATACTACACAGCCACTGAAGTTAAGCATTAGCATTTTTGGGGAACAGGAACAGCAAAGTATTTTGAGGACATTGTGGACAACTCTCAGCAGCTGTCAGATGCTGGTCTGGGTGGATCTGTGGTCAGGTCCAGAATAGCTGTTTCCATGTTGTTCCTCCTTGCTAAGCTGGAATCAGATGCCTTTTAAATAGCCTGGCAGTGATGCACTTCTTGGCTCTGTGCTGGGGTACTGTTGGACCCTTCCACTTCAAGAAATTAAGCAGCATCCTGCAAACGTTTATTTTCATCAGCTTACCAGATGCATTATTTCATATGTTCCTAGCAAAAGTATTTGACTTTGCTGTCCCTTCCTTCCCTATCCCTCTGAGACACTGGGATTGAGGGATAAAATACATAGTTAGCACTGTGTATCAGTGATGAGGGGGATTTATCTTGGAGCAGCAAGGATACCTGCTCTTGCAAAAATCTGTTCTCTTGTGTTTCTTTGATATTTGAGGCAGGTATGGCCCTGAAAAGGTGCTGCTTTTTGCAGGGCTAGAAAAGGAAGAAAGGGGCTTTCTTGCAATATCAAAAATGCAAACTGTGGGTCCCCAACCCCTTCATAGTGATAATGTCACACCTTTGCTGGGGTTTAAAGCCCGTTATAGGAATGGGGATATCTCTTTTGGGATAAATCTCACAAGGCTAGGACTTAGCAAGGTTTATGAGCCTGTAAAAGGTGTATTGTATGGGTTATGACTCTGGGGCCTGGAAAGACAGACATTGAAAGATGTCTGAAGACTGCAATAAAAAACTGAAGCAAGTTGTTACAGTCCCTACAAGGAAATGTGCTGCTCCCACTCGTGTGCCACACAGTCGTGCTGTCTGGCAAAGCAGCTGAAGCACGTCCAAGCATGTCCACACGCCTCTGCTGGCTCACAGTACCGGCTGCAGTTGCCTGGTTGTTTTGTCACAGCTTAATCTCCTGGTCTCTGCAAACCAACTGCTGACACCCTTGCTACTCTGTGCTAGAAGTTACTGCAGCTATTGAACATGAGCAGCTCTCTGGTTCTGTGCAGTCTGTGGAGTTACAATACTGCAGCCATCAAGATCAGCATTGCAACAAGGGCGCTTTATGGGGATTGGTGGTTCACACCCCTTTCAGAAGTTTCCTTTTACCTCATGTGCTAATTCCTGGTTTGTGTCCAAGTGAGCACCCTGTTGCTTCTCTTTTTCCACATATAACTATTATGGACAGGTGGCTACTGAAACTGAGCTGTGGTGGACCCTTAAACTGAAAGGTATATTCCCTCATCATGTCTGCTGTACTGCAACAGTTAAACATATGGGAAAGTGTTGCGGTTTGCCAACATTCTATTTCTGTACCTTGGACTATATAGTGTGTGTATTTTTATATAGATATAAAACACTCACACTATATAACAAACATTAAATTTTATATATCACATATATGCATACATTCTGTACACATACACTATTATAGTGTTGTACCACTGTATATATACATTGTATATAGTACACTTGGTACTATAATATATATGGTGTATATATAAGCATACATATAAAGCCAAATACAAGATTTGTGCTAAATTTACTATGATCAGCTACTTAACTGTTCTGCCAATTGATATTTTGTCTTGTAGACAAATGTTCGTGGCCGTCATGCAAAGGAGAGTAATTGTTTAATCAGAGCAGGTTGAGTTCTTATCTTGGAGATGGGTCTAGCGACATTTTCTGGTTCTAGTTCTGGAAGCTTCTTGGCATCAACAACAAAGAGTGGCCTAGCATATGTCCAGCTAATCTTTATCTTCAGGCTTTGTTGCATTTCAGGCCTTTCAGCAACAATGAGCAAAGCATCCAGTGAGGGCTGACATCTTAGAGGTGGAGCCAGATTTTGGCCATTGAATTTGGTGGGATTTTTTTCCCTGCATAATTTTGGCTTTTCCATAGGGCTTTTTTTGTGAATTTGAAACTACATTGCAATTGTGCTATTTGACTGTCAATATCATATTTCCACTGCTAAATACAAATAGGTATGCCAAGTCCTTGACCAATTTTGGGGGATGTATCCATCTCTACTAAACTTAAATACTCGTCTGGCACTATTCAAGAAAATTTTTAGGAGGCTGCTTGCATTGAAGTTCCCCCAGGCAGCAGAAGTGCAATGGAGCGAGGAGACGGGAGCCGTGTTCCTGTGGGACCTGGACCCTGGTGCTGACTCTGACCGGTGCTGGCAACAGCAGCAAGCAGCAGAGAGCCTGTGAGCATGAGACTGTGCCTTATCTCCTGCTCCTTAGTTGCCCTTTGCATGGAGCAGGGCAGTGAGAGCAATGCCGAAGGAGAACTTGTTAAAGCCTGCCACTTCCAGGCTATCCTTCTAGGGAACTTAGCTGTGGCCACCTCAGTTAAGAATGTCAAAATCACTATTACCAAGACCATCTTTAATTAAAAAAAAATTTATTTCACACTTCTATACAAATATCCACAGGTAATTTATAATCATGGAATGATGCAGCATTCTTAGCTGGTTTAACAAAAGTTTGAGATAAAACTATACCAGTGACATGACTTATTTTTCAAGAACTTTAAAACTTTAAAAGAGATTCATGTTCTTAGGTGAGGGTCACAATCTGGTTTTATATTCAGGGGTATTTCTCAAGCTTCTTAGCCCCGGATTAGCCTGGCTTCTGATGCTGCTGAGCCTTTAAGCAAATAAGCTAGGATTCTAGAAGCTCAAAAATTGGGGAACATCTGAATTAATATGTGAGCATTCATAATGTCAGGGTGATAACATACTGAGATTATCTAGTTTAATAGACTTATCTTTCTTAACACTAAAGTTAACTTTTTAGGAGACCACACCTTCCAAGAAGGTACATTCAGAGTTAGCAGTAAAGATACTTGACAACTGCCCTCCTAGCAGGTTTTTACCCTATGAGGGGAAAAAGTACCAAGAGGTTTTTGCATAGTTCATATTACAAGCAATTCACATGCATACCTTTTGAGCAGGATTTTGTTTCACAAGGAATACACAACTGTGAGCTAAATCTTTGTTCTTAAATAGTACCAAGGCTTTAGAATATGGGTAAAAAAGTAAACTCTTTTAATCATTTTCTCAGTTATGTTACAATAACCAGATTACTAATACCAATGTTCTACTTTTATCAACATTCAGGTATTCAAGATGATTCAGTAGTCTCAACGAGGATCAGCTCAGATCCCAACAGTTAAGGTAAGTAAGGCACCTACAGCCTCCTTCAAGTGCTACACAACAGTTGCAGTAGTCAATGCCTTTTGCCAACCAGGAAGTCCTTATGAAGCCGGAATGAGGTTTCCAAAGGACTTTTCAGTTTCCTGCAATGAGTATAAAATGATATCTAAAACATTACTTCAACTTGATGTCCAAATTGTTAAACAGTCCACAGTAATACATAAATCATGTTACAGGACCTGATGTTACAAGCATCAGGAAAAGAAAGCACCCATACACATCATTTCCATAAATATTTACATTTTAGATAGCATTGTCACCTTCAGTGATTTATTAAAATGCAGTGAAAGCCTCAGGCCTCATAATTTGAAGTTCAAAACCAGAAACACAAAAACCAGAACAGTGGATTTAAAAATTCAGTAGTCTTTGGCCTACCAGTTAGTCAAAGACAATGATTTATAATAAAAATAAATACAAAAATGACTAAAATATTTATATACAGAAAGTACATCTAATATTCAAGCCTCTCTTAAAAAAAAACCTGTGTATATTTGTTGTGAGCAAGAATCCCACAATCTGATCTTAAAATAAGAAGAGCCCAAAATCAAGCAACATGACCTGTTGCACATGTAATTTAAGATGATGCTTTTTGTTAAGCCCTAACTACTGCAGCAGGCAAAGGTTATGACTAAAGCAGACTTGCAGGTCTTCAGTTATACTTGAACAAAGTATGATAAGGCCACTGTGTGTTTATAAAGCACTGTGCATTGAGGGAACAATGGAGAACTTGTCTTGACCTTAATCATGTATTCCTTAAATAACTAGGAATAAAGTCAAGATCACAGGAGGATCAAAAGGTCTGCTGTAGTGGTTTTGCTTATTTTGCAGAAAAGACCCCAAATCAGCACAGTATTTTCTAAAGTGTGTGTTAGATTTAAGGGGGATGAAGAAGCAATTAAATAAGGCAAATAAATTCTGTTGAAGCCATTTTAACTGTGCAAATAAAAGCCTCAATAGAAGTAGTAATATCTACAATCAAATGGTGAATGTCCATAGTGTTCACAGGTCTAACTCCATCAGTATTCCATGAACGAGAACCTCAACCTCTGTCTGAACTTTGTGGATAAGCAACATTTTTGCCTAAGAATAACTTTCATTTTCATTCCATTTGGTGTACCACTGTTTTGTCTCAAGGTCTTGGCTTTTCCCATCTTTGATCTGTCGCTCCTCTTTTCGAATTCTTACAGCGTGATATCGGGGGACACTGTCTTCGTACCTGGAACGCCGGAAGAACCCGCACTGCGCAGACAAGGAAAAGAACAGTTTAGGTGTAAGTTGCTGCCGAAGTATTACAACAGTAGAGGCAGTAAATTCTTCCTTCACACAAATATGCAGGTCAGAAAATTGAAAACAGAAGTTTGTAGACCAAAAATGTAGCATATTTTAGCTGTAAAAATGTGAGCCAAGAGGTCTGCATTAGCTGTTCAGCAGCAGTTAAAGACAAAGGGAATGCTCTGACTATCCATAGTAATCAAATACCTTAAAAATTCCCTCCAGTACAAAGCTGTTCATTCATCTAATAAGGACGCTTACTGCTACACATGGGAAAGCTGCTTCTCCTGAATCAAAGGTAGGTATATACTTCAGTGTCTTCCTGTATGGTGACATTATTTACCCTTAAGAACCTACATAGAGATTTCCAGAACATTCAAGAAAAGTTACCCTAAGGGCCTTAGTTTTCAAAGAACCATTTCCACTTCAGTCACCTGAACTAACTACAATATGCTGTATTAGAAACATGAGTCTTGCTTAGTTTGCCATGGGAAGTCGCCCTGGATGAAATCTATAACAGTTTATTTGTGCTGTGCAATTTTTTATTCAAAGCCACTGTGAAAACTGATTTTTAATATCGATGAATGGATTAAAATTAATTTCCAAAATAAAAGGGAGCTATGGCCACAATATTACAAAGATAATGATTGGTACAGACTCAGCTTTACATCCTCATGGATCACTGATCATCCTTAGGGATCAAGAGTTCAGGTTAAGAAGCACTGTGCCATCCAGCTGTCATTAGATACTGGTGGGGGTAAGAACATGTTAAAGAGGGCAAGGTTTTGTTCATAGTATTTGGGGTGCTGGTTATTTTAATATTAGAACTTAGAACAGAATTAAAAAAAAATTACAGTGAGCAAAGACCAAATCTTTAGCCATCTTATAGGTTCATTAAATACTGTTTAGAAATAATTCATAAAGAATTCCTCCCCACCCCCTCATCCCAAGCACATTTATGGATACAATGTACATGCATGTGATATCTTAACTTGAATAAAAGTTGCTGGAATCATAAACCATCATGCATCTTGTAGCTTCAGCAAAGTGTGTTCCTAGAGAAGTACACCTTACAACTCAAGTAAAACAGATGTTTCCACAGCAGTAATTCTCATAATGAAAATCCTTCTTGGATGTAAGCAACATGTACCTTTGAGCATGCACTAAAGGTTAGTAAAGCAAATTTATGTATTTGTAGTCTTATCTTTACATCTTAACTCTACAGTGTTGATTCCCATCTTGCAAGCTTAAAGACTTATTTGTAATGTTAAAGCATAAATTTAAAAAAATACTAAAGCCCATTGCCATAGATCACCATGTTTTTAAAAAAAAAAAATAAATAAGCATTTTAGACCAGGGTAAACCTCTGTGTGTTCACATGCACCAAAAGCTGAAAATCTATCAACAGAAGGAGCAAGCAAGTATGGATAGCTTGAAATCCAAAAGTTAATGGATGCAGAATGCAGAAAAAGCTTCACAGTTAGCCACTGCAACCATAGCATGTGCCACAGCTAGAAGTTAAAAAATATCATCAGTTACCAATTACAGAAGTAGATCAGTACTATGCATCAGAAGTAAGCCTCTCTTTATCAGACGGCTGAGCATGGATCTCAGCCTTGTGATATGTGGCATCGTAATGATCTTTCTTATTTCTCTTGAAGAAACCACACTACAAGGAAGCAAGGTATTTAGTCAGTTCTTGTGGACTGGAAGAAGTCAAACCTCTTAAAAGTGACTTAACTCTGTCAACCGTTTTCCCACTATCCCTTCGCAAGCCAAAAATAAAAAAGTCATCACAAGAACTCAGCTGTTTCTAGATCTTAGAACTTCTTGTAAGAACACAATAAAATAACCTGAGTTATTAAGAGAGTAACCCGAGAATATTATTTTAGAAGCATTTTGATAAACTTATAGAGAATCTGTTTGGGTTGTTTTTTTAAGAAAAGCTACAATATAACCTGTCCATAGCAAGGGAAGGTGGCTGTGAAGAGCAGAAAGAAGTCTACACAGAAATGTGTTTGTGGACTCGTGCACGGGACAGACAAAACCACAGCGTGTACAAAAACCCCTTCAATACAAGCTTTTGTCTTAAACCAATGATGTATCTATCTTTCCAGTAGGATGTTTGTCCTTCATAGAACAGCACAGTCTGTGTCATCAGAAACAGCATTTTACACTGTGTGTGCATGTGAAAAATGTTTGTATTTTCATGCACAGTAAATAACTAGAAGTTAGAATGTAACAGCCCACCCAGTATTCATTCATCAGGAATATTTGCAGGAGCAGCTGGGCATTTTTTTAGAAAATAAGGAAATCAGAACTATCCTATGGGGAGTAACCTGCAGCAAATAGCTCCTCAAAGCTAACTGCTGTAGTTTCACTGGGAAAAAAGTGACAGGATATTCTTCACCTTCTCTTCTCTAATAATCTTATGCTATCCCATAAGAGCAAATGCTAACTGCCTATGCCTGTAAAAACTAAGAATAAAAGGACTGCTCTGTTATTCTTGGGACAACAAATAATTGGCATTTTTACAAAGGTCATTACTAAATAGGTACTTCATTTTTTCTTTTGCAAACAGTTAACCATTCGTTATACCTCTTTATTTATTCCTTTAAGGTTTCTAAGATAAAAAAGCAATAATAAGATGTATAATTAGATGGCTATGTATTAATAATGTGCTTTTGGTTATTTCCATCTACTGTCAGTTTAATGGTATTTCTGATGTTAATGAGAATAGAGCCCTACTAAAACATTTGCAAATAGCTCACATGAAGTTAGTTTTACACCTAACTGCAAAGGCTCCCAGTAGCTGTACCCATCTGTATCAAACTATGGCCTCCCAACATTTGTCTCAAGTTTCATCTCAAAATACTTCCTTTTGAGGATGTGAAAAGAGAAAAAATTATGTAACAAGTCTACCTGTACAACCATTTTCATTCCAAGTGTTGCAAAACTGAGAAACTGATAATGTATGATTTGTGCAGTTTTGCCCTATTTTGAGTCCCAAATACTTCATCATTGACTTAATTAGTTTGCTATCTTGTCAGTTTCAGACCAGAAAATAAAAAATAACCAGATGAATAAACACCCACCTTCCATAGTACGAATACCAACAGTGCAAGCATGAGTATTCCAGCAAGGATAGCCACCGCGATGATCCACCACGGAACTCCTGTATAAAGGGCTACTGGTTTTGCAGGAAACACAGTAACACGCACCTACGGGATGGCAAATGTGCAGGTGGAAGGAGTATTTTAGAACGTACATGTTTAATCAGAAAGCTGCAATTTATATAGTCTTATATAATCTATATAGCTCTCCTCTACCAAGATGTCTTCTACAAAATGCTTTTGAAGAAAAAGTTCCCACTGGTATCATTTGAATATGGCAATGAATTTTTTTAACCCCATTAAAAGGTAAAAAAAATTATCAATAACTCAAAACTTTTAGCAAGTTTTGTTTTAAATTTCTGGTCTTTGGAGATAAGCTAGAACAATCACAACCATAACATGTGGTTAGTATTAAACACTGAACCTACCTGAGCAACTTCATTTGTGAGTTTAACATTCTTGGCTGCAGCAGGAACACTGATAGAAGCCCTAACAAGAATGTCAAGGTAATTCATTTTTGAGTATTCCTGTTCCAAAATAAAACATGAATATTAGACACAGAACAGGAAAGAACTCTGACCTTATAAAAAGGGCAGGTGAGAGGACTTACCTCTAAGAAGGTACTGTTCCACAGCCTGGAACGCAGCACAATAGATGCCTTGCTGTCTAAACCCTTCAGGGGACACTTTATGTCCACACAGCGTGCATTCGCATTGCAGCTCTGCAATTACACAGATCTAGATGTAAATAAGATCACATCTTCATAGATTGTTTAAAACTCATCCCAAGATTAAAAATTGGATTATATGCATCATACCTACATGCAAGGACCACTATCTGTTCATACTGAGAGCAATGGGAAAATACAGTGAAGATGTTATTACTTGCTTATTTTAATGTAAGTAACTATGAAGATGTTCTTCCCGAGTTCTTTCTCAAAGTAGATAATATAAATGTTCAAATTTTAAAAGCATCAATATTTGGATGTAAGATAAAAAGAAGACAAGGAGAACATAACTGGTGCAATATCCTTACCAAGGTCTTGTATTTTCTTTCTGAGAATAAAGAAAATGCCTGGCTGTCTGTAATCTGCTTCTCTGCAACTTCACGCTTCCTTCTTGAGTTATGGGATTCCTAAAAGGAAAAAAAAAGTAAAAAACTAAAAAGCAGATTATAGTAAGAATCTTAATTCATACAAGCAGAGAAAGTAGAGCTCAGTGTTTTCTTCTTCCAAATCAGCACATGACTGACAGCATTGTATATCCCTACTTACCTACATTTACTGCTAAGAATAAAATTTGAGATTACCTAAAGAAAGGCCAACAGACTATTTTCTTTAATAGGGCAAGGGGAAGTTTAGATTTTTAAAACTTTCAATGCTATTTCCATTTTTATTTCTGGATAAAGGGTATTAATGGTACTCTGCTAAAAGAATAAGAATGTGCTAAGGTCAGTAGATGCAGATTTTTTTAACTGTATACTAATAACACTCATTGCAAATTATATTAACTAATATAATGATCGGACAAAAACAACTTTATGTGCATGCAGTTTTAATGGTGGAAAATAAAAATTCCTCCCATAGGATCTTAGGATTATATGAAGAATTAAAAAATGAGGCTCAAGTTTTAGGAAGAAGATTTTGCTAGATAAGTACAATTCAGGACTATGAAAATTGTTCTTTATTTATATTTGTTGTAAATAAATAAATTTAAGTTCAAGCCCCTTCAAAAAAAAGTACATGGAATGCCCCCAGGATGGGAAGATATTTAGTTATTTATTGTTTTTTTAGTAAGAACTCAGATGTTTTTATTACTGAGCAGTTTCCAAGAATAGTGATGAAATTTGTTAGGACAGTCAGCAGTTTCATCCTGTACAAGAGCCTATGACAGCCGTGCCCATTGCAAAAACAGTCATCATGACCTAGCATCTATCCTTCAGCATATCAGCCTCATTAGCTGTTAAAAGTCTCCTGAAAGGCTTATTCACTGATACACTGGTCATGTATTGTGCTAGTGAGCTGCTGGAGATAAAAAGTAACTCCTTCTAGAGGCAAGCTCTCATGCCTTATATTCTGTGGGGTGCTTTCATGTTGTACCAATTCATGAACAGAAGACAGGGTAACATACCATAACATGCAAACTGTTGATTTCATTTTCAGGTTGACAGGAGACTTTTTCCAAGCCTTTGGAGTCTATTTTCATCAAATAAAGCAGCCATTTGCCATTACTAATTTCTTTTGGCCACTGGATGTCCAGGGAAGCAGTGCCAAATGTTTTCAGTGGTCTGCCCAAATTAGTTACCTGTTAAAACAAACATTCTTTAAACTGTAAAATAATTTTCAGAGGGCTTTTCTTCCTGAAAACATTATTGACTTGGACAAGCTTTAAGCATGCAACTAACAGAAAATTTAGATCAGATGAAAGACAGTCAAAATAGTACTAAGACAAAGTGTATACTAAAACTACATACTTGGAGAGCAAATAAATGCATAGGATTAGAATTCCCTAATATGAACTTCTAGTTGTTGATTTTTAGAAATTAATCTTCATGTGAAACAACTCCAATTAAGAATTAACAAATCAGTCAGTTGTGTAACTGAGGCAAACTGCAAGTTTCTGAGGAGCTCTGACACAGAGAGAGAGAACAACCTCTTTCTCTTGTAAATCTGGAAGTTTTTTCCCAACCTCTTTTTTTACTTTCTTAGTGTTACTGATCATGCTAGCAGGTTTTAAATCAGGTGTTTTAACTGATACTGTTATAATACATGGACTGGGTACAGAAAGAAGTAAAGGACTGACAGAGATGGACTTAAATTTCTTAGTCTCCTCCTTGCTGTATTAGGCACAAGACCAAGAAAGTGAAATAGACTCACATTCAGAGGGGCTCTCGCAGCACCTCCTTGCACTGGCTCTGTTCTCAGCCCATTCTTGCTGCCTGTGTGCACCAGCCAATGCCTGGGCAAGTCCCAGGCAGGTTCTGCTGTAACTTTGTTCCCTCCCTGCTGGGGCTTTTATGCCCTACAACTAAATGTGCATGAACTGCTCCGAAAAAAGTGTGCAGGCAGCCTCAGGCCACTTCCTCAGATTATGATCATAAAACATCAAGGCCTAAAGAAGCTCTAGTCCATAGTCAACTGCATGTTCTGATCATGAAGTCATGATTTTGGGACAAAGAAAGCCAATTTCTTTATAGCAACTTTTCTAAGTATTCATACACATGAAGCAAGAAGCTGTGTGCTTGATGAAAAGCAGCTGTTGGCATTAACCTAAATTACTCACTCTGAATTCATACTCTATGAGATTTCCAATATCATCTTCAGATTTCATAGCACTCTCACCAATGATGTTACCTCCAAAATATACCTGAGAAGGCTTAGCAACTCTGTTCAGGTGGGGGTGGGAAAGGAGAATAATCAGATTTTAATGAGTCTGAAGCAAAACTGTCCCCAGACCCCCCAATTTGTCATGCTATCAACACTTACCCAGTGAGTGATAAAAGCAATTCAAGAACCACTTTAGCACTGGCTGTAATTGGAGTCAAATTAACTTGAGTGCTTGTTCTACAATGAAAAGGAAACAATGGTGTTTATTTTACTAATTTAGTTGGTTTCTCTCTACTATTAAATTACTTCTGTGAATCAAACAAATGAATGTATAGCAAAGCAAAGTGCAGGTGCATGCGCAAAAAGAAAACTTACGTTTCCAGCTTCAAGTTAATGTCTAAGTCTGTTGTATCAACATTAACTTTAGTGGTACTTAAGATCAGATAAAAGGTTACCTAAACAAGAAAGATAAGGAAATATATGAGCTCTTATAAGATATATTGATATGTGAAAACTTATAGAAAATTTTAATAGTACGTTCTAGAGTTAAAAAGACAGATCCAAATCACTTTTCCAGTTGTGACACACAGGAACTTTGGATGACTACAATCAGTCAGAACAAGATTTTACAACTTGAGTAAAGTGCAACTTACATTAGAATTCCTTTTGAAAGGATTTCCAAGTTCACACTCTGCTTGAGAACCATTTTGGTTAGCACCACACGTTAGCTGTTTTTCCTGATTAAACAGAATATATTTACAAGTAAAAATATGCTGGAAATATTTTAACTTTTTCAGTATTTTTTTCTCTTAAAAATACTTACAGGATAACCCCTCATCTCTCTGAATGCAGAGTATGTCAGACTGTCTGGAAAAGTTGCAATTAGTTTAGCTTCATACGCATCTTCACCATCTTTTTGTGGCTTTTTCAGATCAGATGGATTGTTTGTCACTGTTATTTCCAGGGCAATATCCTTCTGGTCTTTCAGAACAAGCACTGGCATGCCCTTTTCACTACAGAAACAGAATGTACAGGGTTCTGTGCATTAGGAAAACAAATGTATATTCAAGTTCACCTCATATGATGGTTTATCCAAGTACAATTTCCTCTTAACAGGGGAGAATTACAGTAAAACTGTGAACATAAATAGTCGTAGGTTTTTTCTCCCCACACCAGTATTCCATCTGACAGTGGCCAGCAGTTAAGAGGACAGAACAGGCGGATAAGTCCCTCAAGTAATCAGGAGTTTATAGTATTTCTGAACCAGCACTTGCATCTGACACACACAGTGATGAATTTTCTCCAAATCCATCTAATGACCTGTTTTTTTCTTGTAAGGTATACATGGGTTTGGCTTCCAAGTGTTGCTAAAAATGTGTGACTGCTGGCAGTAAATAAACATACTTCCTTCTGTTTGTTTTACCCCTGCTCTAATTTCACTGGCCCTCCCAGGAAGGAGGGATGCAGCAGGGTGCTGGGGCATGTGTTAAAATTAAATCATTACTCAATTTCTCTGTAACTACTTTTCTTGGGCTATTAGCCTATACTTTACTGAGCTGTCACACAGTCAAGTTTTATCTGCAAAATAATTAACAGTGTCACACAATAAACTACTGCAAGGCTGGTTTAGAATGTCATTTCTCCAGGTGTTAAATTGTTGGGTTTTTTTCTTTTAGCCCACCGCTGCACTATTGTGGCCACTCAGCATCCATTCAACTCTGAACCACTTTTCTTCTTGAGCTCTTCCCCTCTGCCCCCATTCCTCACCCTGACAAATCAATACTACTGCCAAGGGCTGTGTCTGCCAGACACAGAAAAAAGCTGTTCCTTCCCAAAATCCTCTCCTAAAAGTTCTTTTAAGCACTTGTTAATAATTTGAACTTTAGAAGTGCATTAATTGAGACTTACAGTGGTAAATAAGTAAACCTGTCTTCATTTCCCTCTCTCGTACAAAACCGGTACTGAAGCTTAAGATTGCTGTGACATTCATTGTCTTCTCCACATCCTTCTTTTAAGAATTCCACCTAAATAAAGCACCACCAAAGCAATTTTACTGCCTGACACACAACAGTAGCTTAAAATGAGATTTCTGAAGCACAGTGAATAAAGCACCTACATGGAACTCACAAGGCACTTTCCTGGACAGAGTTCAGATTTTAACCTGACTTAATTCTTGCCTGTTGAGTTTTTCTTTGTGAGATACAGCCCTTGATGCTGGTAATTTAGAACTGTAAATGTGACTAAAAAGCAGAGTTGGATAATTCTAAGTGAGAGGTACACTTCTAATGAGGAAATACATCTTTAAGTCTGATTCTTCAATAAGCATTGAGGAAATGAGAAATTTTAACTGAGATATTTCCTCCCTTCTATGTCACTGCTGCAATCATTGCTTAAAAGCTGTTACAGCATCCCATGGAAGACTTAGGAATGCGCATTATCTTGTTATGTTGGACAAGTGTTTCCAACAGAAGACAATGAATTTCCATTTTTAATCGAAAGTACATTTCCTCCTAAACTTACTGGGGAGAAGGAAGAAACAGAGGAGCTACACCATCTTCACTTTTGTTGCAAAAGAACACAGTACATAGTTCATAACATGTTGTAACAAGTTCAGAACAAAATATAAAATAACAATCCAATAGTTACATGTCCAGTGCCACCCCAGGTATTTCCTTTGGACATAAATTAGTTTTCTACAGTCTTTAAAATTAAGTTATTTGCAGAAGTGCAGATTTATGCAAATATGTGATATCAAAGGCTTACTTTTGTGGTCTCTGTTTCAGATTCATTTGCATTTAGAATTGGCGTAAGATCTGGAAGTGCACTCTCTTTTCTCTTGGATGGTGACTCCAGGCCAGCAATTTTAACACTGACTGATATTGGAATGGGACGTAGCTTATCTTTAATTTTCTCCTGTTAAAATAGTTTAAATTGCATAGTTAGTGTACAGTGCAGAGAAGAAAAAAACAACAGAAAGATAAGCTTTTGATACTGTATTTTCTAAACATGCAGGAACACAAAGATCCCAACCCTATTGTCTTTTTGTTTTCCTCTGGCTTCCCAATGTGGTGATTACTTTTGCCACTAAGAATACCTAGGAACCACAGGCAGTAATTTAGGCAGGTGAAATTCACACAGCTGCAGTAAAATAACACACTGAAACAGGTTTGAGTAACATGGTCTAGTAAAAGGTGTCCCAGCCCATGGCACAGGAGTTGGAATTAGATGATCCTTAGGGTTCTTTTCAACCCAAACCATTCTATGATTCTATTCTATTCATAAATTAAAGTTCTTTAATCTGCTGGGATCAAAAGCAGCCTTGGAGGCTGACTCATTCCTGCTGAGTCATGGAGCGGGAATCTGTTTAGCCTCTGGAGCAATACCACCTCTAAGCACCACTACAGCAGCCAAGTCAAGAGAGCACATACCAAGCTTTCCTGCCCTGCCCATTAATCCGCTCCAAAACCCATAGGTTAAAATTATTTTCCTGAACAGTCACACTATAAAATTCTGTAACAGTTATTTCTGTTGGAAGCAGCTCTCCGTTTCTGGCAGTCCCTCTCTATTGTTCCAAATTAGTTCAGCTGTATTGACCACCACAGTGAGCTGCAGTGGCTGCAGTTTTTATTCATACTTTGCAAGAAAGGCAACAGGAGGAAGCAGCATGTGTGCAGGGAATAGTAAACTACGGTGGGTTTCTCTTTTTTTGAAGTTTTATATTGGATCTGATTTTGAAATTATATACAAAGTTTATACAAAGATTCCTTCCAAAAGGCTGGGAAAAAAAAAAAAATCTTTTGTTTTAAGTGGATCTAAATGAAACGGAAATAAAATATTCTCCCCTACCTGCAGTATAAGCTTTGTAGTCACACACTCCCATGAGTTCTGTCCCCTGAGGGTTGTACTCGCAGTGAACTGATCAGACGAGTGGTCACTGAAGCGCACCCTGGAGGGCAGGCCCAGCTGCCGCCTCTCGTTCTCCACTTCAAACGTGTAACTGATCTCTATGTGAAAAAAATAAAGTAGGACACTACAAAAAGAATCACTGCCATACTAAAAAGAACTTTAATTTCACAAGGTATGATCTTAAGCATTATTCTAGAAGACTGTTCCAGCCAGTGCTGGGTTCCCCAAAGTGTTTTCATTAATTTAAAAAACTCTCAGTGTCAATTTTGTCCTGCCATGGATGAGGGCCAAGTACCCCACGTGTGAATCTATAGAAAATTTCTAAACCAAATCCTGCTATTCCCTAAGTAAACCGTTCCCCTACGGGCATGCAAGGTTGTCAGGGGGAGCTGTAATTGCTGTGCGGAGCCAGCAGAGGGCTGAGCTCTCCACTGTAAATACCCCGACTGCGCTGTAGGGGATTCTGCTGGGTCCCAAATGGCACCTCAGAGACAGCAGGATTCTGAGGTCAAGGTACACTGACAATCTTAACACTGAAAACAGAATTTCGACTACAGCTGTCCAGTTGTGTGCTGAGGCATGTTTTCCTAGATCTGAACTTGGTGCATCTTTTAATGATTGCTTCACCGAGCTAATTCAGTGCTGCACAGATGGAAACAGCACTGAGTGTGCCAAGGCACTGGGAGAGCAAGCACTTTACTTGCTGAAGGACCAGCACCTCATTCAGGCACAGCCTTTGGATTTCCAAAGTAACTGAGAAACTCAAGACAACACAAGAGAAAAAGGGTGACTGGGCTTAAAGTTCTCATTTCCTCTCAAAATCCTACACAGTTCTCCATGAACAGCAGCATTGTAACAAGTGCTTTACATTTTTGAAGCACAGTCTTCCAGTCTTCTATTAATGCAGATTTTTTTATTTCAGTTAATGATTTCCACAAAAGTGTTTTCATGAATACAGGATAGGTTCATAGGGTAAGCCTCTAATAAGAAATAATGCTCACTAAGGATGTATAAAATGGGCCTCAAAAATGGTTCTTTAAAGCAGCACTAATCTAGAGAGGCAAAATGGTTTGGGTCTGCATAGCAGCCATTTGCTCACTGGCAGTTGCAATACTTAGAAAGCTTTAGTCTGTCATCCACAGAACAGCTTAACACACCAGCATGACTCTAAATACAGACTGCAACAGCTGAGCTTAGCACTGAATCACATTTTAAATCTGTCAGTCACTGTCTGAGATGAGTCACTATAATTTGAGTCATGTTTTTCCATGATAAACACTAAAGAAAAACAAAAAAACAAACCATGTGACAAACAGATCAAAAATATTGATCTTTAGAACTTACTTATTCTTGGATTTAAATCTCTGGGGTTTGCAGTATATTTAAAACATGCTTTCACATCCATCCTGTAAAAAGTGCCAAGAAATTAGTATTAATAAGGCATGGTCAAACAATAAAGTTTTAACTCATCAGTCTTATAATTGTGGTATTTGCTGATTACTAGACTGAACTACAGAGCAAGAAAAAATGATTCATAAGCAATTAAGCATTGCTCTTATGTGTCTACTCAAGACAACACTGTTCAAGCCAAGATACTTGTGTTAAAAGTTTGAAGAAGCAAGGCGACATTCATTCTCAAAAATAAACGTTACAAAAAGGACATTCCACACCTTGTCTTTAGCACAGCAGCCTGAAGAAATTCAGGAAGTCAAAATGAACACATGGAGATACATTTGCTTTACCTGCGTAACTGTCATATCCCTTCACTTAATCATGATTACTGAATGAATTTTGACAGCAGAAAGCTCAATATACCAAGGCTTCTGATAGAGTAATTTCTTTTCCATTTACCTTATTTCACCATGGTCCTCAGGGTTCTTTTTCTTTAGATCAATTCTATCAGGCTGTACTGTAATGTTTCTTCTAATGCTTATCACAGGCCGAGATCTTAATTTGGGGGGAAAATAGGGAATAAAAAGAAGATATATAAAAAAAAAAAGTAGTAGTTTCTGTTAATGAAAAAATTAATGCAAAATGATGTTTTAATTTCCTGCTTCCACTGCATGTAGGCTGTAACCATACTTCTGCCTGCAACTTGTCTTTTCCTTTTCTGGAAGGGAGAAGACATTTCACATGAACACATGAATGAGCTGATCCTGTTCTCATTAAAGTTGTTAAAAATAGCTGGTAAACTACCTGCTCCATTTAACTGGGCCACTCCTTTCACTGTTTGCCACCAAGAGGCTTTTGTTCTCACCTTGGTGAAAGTTTTTGTCCTGCCTTTATCAGCAAAACATTAAAGCTCCTTTTGAGTAAGCAGAATGCTAAATAATCTGACCAACTCCTCTACCACCTACTCCGTTCTCTTCCACAAGCCATGTAAATTGCTTTTCTTGGGCGCTGTTCAGCGTATTTAAGAACATTACATTTATGTGCACAGATACTGTAGATATGGGAGCATAAACTGTAGAAAGGGCTGTTTTGCATGAAAAGTAAAGTTGTTCATCCCAGAATTCAGATAACCAGTTTTGGAGTTTCTGTTTCTACTCCTCTGAGACCTGACAACAACCACCAAAGATCTGAGCTTGAGGCAGCATTCACAGTTCTGATGCGAAGACAGTCTTCTTCCTGCCCATTACTAATTCAGTTTAACAGTACAGTAAACTGGAAAAAAAAGCAGGTCTGCAAAATACTGTGACTTCATCCCTAATTAAGGCATGTGCTACAGAAATCTCAAAGGATCTTCGCTGCAGCCTTCCTCACTGTTTCATGGACCCCAGTGCAAGCTCAGCAAGGCACTTGTGTGCCTCACTTGGTTTGGATCCTCAGCTACAAAAGTGGGGGTTGGTTTTGTTTTCTTCTATCATCAGAGAAGCACAATTAGATTATACAAGGGCAGCAAATTTATTAACTTCTCCTTAAGGAATTACTTATCACCCTTAAATTCCATTCAAGGACACAAAGATCCAAGTTACAATAGGACAAAACTAAGATGCAGGTACACTGCCCACATCAGCACCCTACAGGAATTATCCATATTCACCCTCTTACCCTGTATTGATTGTAAGGCAGGTTCTCAAGGAGATGAGGGGGATAAAGTAACAAACCAATTTATGGAATTCCTGCCCTTCCCCCTCTCCTCCCCTCAAATTTCCAATTTCTGGTAGGAAAAGTACACTCAAGGACAAACAGCTTTTATTTACTTCTAAACAAATTGCTTTTAAGAAACTAAAACCAAAGCCCTGGTGTAATTAATTAAGGTTCCATATATAATACCTGTACACATTTACAGAATCTGACAGGGAACCAACAGCAACATCAGGGTAGGAATTTTTATCCAGGTCCATATTTCCAGCAATAGAGTAACCAAAGAAATTGGTGTTTGTTTTTTCACCATCAAGAATCTAAAAAGCAAACAGATTGAGGGAATTCAGACATTTAAAAGTGATAAAGGTGAAATAATAAAGAAAAAAATTAGAGGGAAGAGATACAATGAAGTAGGATTTGTGAAATAGGATCTCTGTGTTCAGTTCAGCTGAAGGATACTGATGGGCCAAGATGATTTGCTCTTCCAGGAAGTTACCTGGCAATAGCAGGGAGCACTAGAAATTACTGATCTGCAGAGAGCTGAGTTCATCTTTATTTACATTATTTATGGACTATAAACACTTGAAACAGAAAAAGTATTCTATAAAATATTATAAACTATTCAAGCAGTATTCTAGGAAGTATAATGAAGTTCCATTACCACCCTAAAAATTGTACACAGTGACCCTCAAAAAAAATTTAAATAAATAAATAAATCTATTTTTAAAAACAACAACAAAAACACCCACAAACCCAAACATTATTGAAGAAGGAAGTGAAAGAGAAAACATAAAAACAAATTGTTTTCAAATTACCAGATTTACTTTTTAAAAACCCAGTTTATTTATCTACACATCTTTTTCCTTCTGCACATATTACTGGTGCTAATGGATGGCCCCAGAAATAAAAACATATATTAATATCAAGAATTCCTAATCTTTCCTGTCAGCAGTGCAATCTTTGAAGGGCCCAGTGATTTTCCAGCATACCCACCACCCCAATAATACCAATGGAAAGGAAGATGGATAGCCCTGTCATTCCTTTCATTTTGTTCAAGAATAATTATATAGTAAAGGTTACTTCATTACCTGTGCCGGCTTTGTATTTATTCCATTCTCAGATCCATGATAAATGTATACTTTGCCAAAACCATCATATGGAGCTCCTACTGCAATATCTGGTGAAAATAAGTTGGAACATCTAAAATCATTTTTCTTTCCGCAGCATGCAATCAAAGGGTGAGATGTTGTAAGTCTGGCATCAGCCAAACAATCTCACCCATTTTTGTTGTCATTGTTTTCCATTTACCTGGATATCCATCCTGATTAATGTCCCCAACATTTTCAACTGCAAGTCCAAACATGGAGTCAGTGGTTCCATTTAAGCGAAGAGGCTTCACCCCTGCCCATTTGCCTTGGTGGTTCATGTAGACATACACGGCACCCCCAATATCCCCACTTCTGTCAAAGTACTGTGGGGCCCCAACAACGATGTCCTGCCAGCTTAGAATGAAAATAAAAGAAAAAAAAAAAGGCAGTGCTTTTGTAGAATAACTGCTCAGACTGTGAGCTCCAGATCAGTTGCCCAAAGAAATGCTGAACAAAGACTAAAATGTGCATTAAACTGGCTGGGCATCAACAGCCCCGCTGACACTGCAAGCTGGTTTAATCTTTTAACAGCATACAAGGACCTCCTATGGCCTTCTTGGGGTATGAGACTGGCTTCCTGTTTTTCTGTTTACAATAATTGTTTGAATAAAACTCTTTATTAGAAAGTAGGCTCTGTCCTGATTGATTCTCAAGATGCTCACCATTTCCTTCAGGAAAACATGGAAGCTGGGATTTGTCATTCCTTATATTTCTAATGTGAAAAACCAAAGTGGAAATAAACAAGATCTCTATCCTTTATTATACAGGCAGTAGGAGTTCACCACAGCCATACCCATCACTGTTGAGGTCCACAACAGCAACATCATAGCCAAAAGAGGAGGCCAGCCCTTCTCCTTCAAACATGTGTTCCAGGGAAAGCGCTCTCTGATTTTTTTCTTTTTTCAGTAAAACAACTGCTCCACTGTGGTTTGCTCTTGGGGCACCGGAGACAAAAGTCATCTCATCTTGGGAGACAATTCCTTTACCAGAGTCCAAAGAGAAACCTTTAACAGAGAAAGAAATAAATATAAATTAACAAGTACAAGTACTTACAGTAAGTAACAGCTTGTATCTTAATATGAAAAAATAAACATTTCCCCTGCTATATTAAAGTGGTATATGGAATACAAGTTTTGTCTAAAACACAGTGTGCTATGGCTGGGAATTCTCCATTTCTGTTTCCACTGATGGACATGTATTTGAAAGTCAACACTCCTCCATACATTACATTTAGAATTTCCCCACAAAACACAGTACTTCATTGCTCACTTGGACCTGCTTTTCATGGACACCAAATACAGGATACACACAGCTTAGACACAACTACAGCTTTACCACTTGAATATAGCTTGAGTACTTCACCTCTGGCAAAATTATGAGAAAACCTCCTAAGTCAAGTCAGGATAGTTCTATTACAAACATGCAAACTGTACCACACAAGCATTCTCAAATGAATGATTTATGCAGTATTTGAGAATTAGCTTACACAGTAATGGTGAAATGGACAATTTTAAGTTAATGCAACCCTAAACATGACATGATCAAATTAATTTAGTCTTACAATACATTTTAAAACATGAAAAAACAAGTTAAAATACTATACTGCATGTACCAATATAGCTAATAAAGGTCAAAGTAGAAAACTGCCCACTTTGCAAGGAAGGAAGATACCAGTTAGCAGATGGGAATCTCCCTCTGAAACACTTCACCACTACTATGGAAATTCTCAATTACAGCAATTCACAATGAGACAGTTCCACAAAAAATTGAGGGAGTCCCAGCTGGGGGAAGGATGAGAGGGTTTGGAGAAATGCATGACAAATCAGCATTTCTCTAAAGCCTTGTTACTTTGCTGTCTCCCCTTTATCTGAATCCCTGGATTTTTTTTTCATGCTTTACTTACAATGTATTTGATATGAGAGGGAATAGAGGGGAGAGGGATCATGACAAAGATCTGGAGATTATGTCTGACCAGATGCTGCCCCCTCAAGTGGTCACAAACCTAAGTAGCTATTCATCATTACATCCACTGACTTGTCCACCTGTATGCTGGGAGGCAATGTTTTGTACACAAACTGATCTGGATGAGTATCAGATACAGCTGTCAAAAATAGAAGACCTACAAATATGAGTAAAAGATTGAAGAGAAAAGAAATAGTAGTTAAGCAAAGCACCTATAACCACATTTGCTTACGTTCTAAACAGACAGAACAGTAATGCCTGGGATGAGCTGGCTTGCCTGGAAGTGGTTCAGATTATTACAAATCAAGGCAGCATTTACATTTAGGACCTAAATGCATTAGTTATGCAACTGGAAAAAGTTGATACAACTATTCACAGCAAAAGGCACTGGCATCCACAGCACTCCTCACCTCAGCAATTCTTACTCCACCAGAAGATGCTATCAGCTTGTCTAACATAAGCTCTCAGGATGATTTTTCTAGTTACCTTTACACACAGTAATTACTGCTGGTAAAGTGTAACCGTAGTGTATGCTCTCTTTCTCCTAACATATATGTAGCTCTAACTTTGCTTTCTTCTCGACTTGCTTTTTTACTTTTTACATTAGTAATGCCCTTCCCATCTGTTCAGCTTTCCATCACTCACACCAAAAGCAGTGGATCAACACACCACAGAAATCTGCACTGGAACAGAAGGATTCTTTACACTTAATGCCTTTCCAAAAATGCAGCACAGCCTTCTCAGTGTATCTCACTAGTGTACAGAAAGGTCACTGGCCTAAGGACATATTCCTGCTTTCCTGACAGCAGAAAGAGCAAGAGATTCACCTCCTGCAACACACACACAAGTCAAATATAAACAGTACTTATATTATGGTATTTTAAAGGTCTGCTAAAAGCCACTGGAGTTTTAAAAAGTTGAAGAATAAAAGAATTGCACTTACCTACCAGGAGAGGAAATCTGCAGCCTTAACAGTTACACACAGAAACTCGAATTTTGATAAACTGTCTGATACTACATAGCAGAGACTGTGTGACTAAGGACAATAGACCCATTCATTGCACTGACCCATCACAGTGATGATAATCACTCCCTGAGATTCTGCAGGCACTCATCACAGCTCTTGAATCTCACATTACAACAGCAGCTCCTCTAGGTACCTCAGCAGTATCATCTTACACTTAAAACTGGCCCATAAATGTGGAGGGAGGCTGTGAATTATCCAGAACAGTTAGTGTGTTACAGGCTCCACAGTGGAACATCTGCTCCCATTTCAGATTATCACATCAGGCTGGGATCACAAATGTTTAAGAGACCTAAAGAGATTTATCACATGTACTTAATCCTACCTAAATAACTGTTAGCTGGAACAGGAACTAGATTCTTATCCTGGCGGCTCTCATCACCAACTTCGTAAGGCCCATCATCAAAGATACCAAGATCATAAAATGTCTGATTCTTTTGCTCTGCACGGACCACCCCTGAAAAAATGAAATGATAAAATAAAAGCAAATGAATGATAAGTGAGAAAAATAACAAATAAATGTTCCCAACTTATATTAATTATGATGAATGACATAATGACTGCTTTTAAAATGGGACAAACACAGAATAGTGCACTGGGTTAGTGTTTTGTCTCTGTTCTGTGTGCCAGAAGCTCATGCTGCTCTACGAAGAAGCCACACAATGACCTGGACAACATCGGTTAGTAATGAATTTTTCGATAAAAAACATTGAACCAGTTTGATCATAAACCACCCTTATCCTGTATTTCTTAGCCTGATAAAGCTTCTCTTAAAAAGGAGGTAAGTACACAGGATTTTTTTTTTAAATTACATTTCATTATGGCAAACACGAGTAATATATTTAGAAAAGGTATTTAAGAAGAAAAAAGCTATTGTTCAATAAAAGGCGTGCTTCCCTTTTATCAATTGGCGTAATTAAGGTTTTGGCAAGCACAAACACGTTTTTCCATTATACAGAAGAGTACTCTTAGGACTGTCCTAGCATTTCTCTGCAATTAAAGTAAAATGGTGTCCGCACTCAGTACGCTGACTCAGGCCAGTCAGAGTTTGTTGACGGATACGTGGAAGATTAAGTTCTCACTGAAGTACACCTTGTGCCAGAGCTTAATGCACTGATTTTGCACGGTTCATACACCAGGCACAGGTGTACGAGGTGGAAAAACGCAATGCTTGGAGGATCAGATGTTCTCAAGGGGAAAGTATTTACAGCTGTTGGTGTAATGAAGTGTGATGGGAAAAAACACTTTGAGAGACTGAACTGGCCATTTAGATGCTTCTGAATATAAACTAACAAAGAATATCTAGGGGTTTTTTTCCCCTTATGTTTTGGAGTATCTCTTAGATGACACAGAATACTTGGCTCTTAGATTAACCATGAAATTTTACATGGACATGCATGGATTTAGATATGAATACATGTAGTATTGCTGTAATCTTCCAGAAACCCTTCAATATTTATTTTGGAAAGTACTCATTTCCACAAACTTCACAAAGAATAAAGGGGAGAATATTGCAGAGTAAACAAAGAGTTCAGCAGTTATCTAATATTTGCTCCAATGCAGAAAAAGGGCTGGTCAAATAACTCATACAAATTTAGTAACTTGTTCCTGTATGAAAGTGTCCAAGAAAGCCCTCAATCCCACTGTAAGATTAAGACTAATAAAGGCAAATTTTGCTGTACGTATGTGCAAAGTTCCATTATCTACTCATAAATACACACTAAGATATTTAAAGAAACTTCAGTAAATGTTGATACAGAAGCATAGCATTTTGTAAAAACAGGTAAAATCATTATATCCCTATTACCTCCTCTCCCCTTAAAGAAAATTAAAACTTTGGATGCAACCTTTGAGAGCAATCTCAGAGGAAATGGGAAGGGTAAGCAGGAAGGAAGCCAAGTCATACCTTTCCAGTTGTAAGTGCCTGGGGCACCAAACACAATATAATGATAGTCTCTAGTAAAAGTAGCAGCAACACCTTGCTGACAGGAACCAAACTTCTCATGGCCTCTTAAACGACCATCACAAAAACTCCATACTCCATTATCCATATCATCCTTAATGGTGAGGTCCTGGCTCAGCACATAGCACCTTCCAATGATATCCCGGGTTTCCTGCACTGTGTTTACATACTGCCTTTTTTCATAGCGATGCGCACATGTCTGCAAGACAGAAGAAACAATGTGTGATGTTTCTGTGTGTCATACACAGGTCACCTTGGAGGGCAGGGCTCATCTAGCAGTCCCTCCTGCTGCCAGTGCTCTAAGTCACTCTGCGGATACACCTAAGGGCAGAGTCCAACATTTCCTACAGGCAACATATGGGAAAGGTTGGGCACCTACAGGTACAAGTCAAAGCAGCCTCTTTCATGGTCAAGGAAGGCCACAGGGTTAAATCCCTAAAGCCCTTCCTGATACCAAATCCCTCTCTTTCAAGAAGTGAGGAGAAAACCACCCTCTCTCTCAAAGAAAGAAGTGACTGTCTCCCAAAAGCTCCCAACAGAGTTGAAGGACTGACAAACCCATGCAGGACACAAGAAGCTGGTTTAACTACCATCTACCCAAGACTATTCAGAATTTGCCCCTTACAGACAAGTTCCACTAAGCAGAGGCTGACAGCTTTTCCAGTGAAGGGACAGGAAGTTGCTCCTACTTCCTCTGTTGGATGTTCCACTTACAGGGTAACTGCCACTGGGGCAGAGTTGAAGCACTAAACACATCCTGTTCCTTATCCTTTTAGACTATCCCCTGGGAAAAGAATTCTAATCAAATATTTAACACAAAGGATGAATAGCCACTGGCTAAGCAGTGTAACCACCAAACCATTGTAAAAAAATGTGAACAATCAAACGCCTTTGCCAGCTGTGTTTCTGGAAGAATAAGATATAGCAGGTTGTGTGAAGAACACAAGCAAGTCAAGTTTCTCAGCTGACAAAACCTTTTCTATGGTTCTTATCAAGGTCTACATGTTTGGCAAACATACAGCTGCTCCACACTAGAGCACTGCTGCAGTGACCTCCAGGCTGCTCACACCTCATCTAATAAGTGAATTCTCCACTTACCACTTACAAAGAAAAGACAAGATAGCATTAGTTGATGACTGATTATTCAGTGAACAGGACTGTTCCCATGTGGTCCACCGCACTTTGGGTTCTGAGGCAGACAAAGCTAGTTATTACTGCCTGTAAATGCTTAAATAACCAGATTTACATCCTGAAGTTGCCTGCCCCCAGCTTTGGAAACAGTGACATTAACGTCCTATTAGATGAAGAAACATCACTGCACACCTATTTTATGACGTATCTGGTGTCCTGCAGCATCATGAGAGGTTATTATTTAAATTTTTATTGAGAATGTTACTTTTCAAACTCTTTCTCTCCCAATTCCCAAAACCTTTTTCTCTCTGTTTAATATAAAATAGAGTATCTACGCATTGTATAAAATAAAGAATGGCAAGTAGTCTTACTGCAGTGCAACCTACTGCAGTGCAATGACCATATTAATTCACAGGAGCTCCTCAGTGGAAGTCCTGATAAAAGCTAGAGTGAGGCTGTTCATCTTGGAAAACTGGCTGATGACAACCTGCTACTTTTACAGCCTTATACACTATTCCTCCCTATTTCTAAAGCCAGTAGTATTTAAAAGAAAATATATGTGTATATGACCAAAAAAAAGTGTATTCCTTGAAAATAAACTGTCCATCATAGATTGCTACAAAGGTTATAAAGAGAGGCTAACTCACAGAAAAGTAATTTAAAGCTCTTACAACCACAAATGCCTTATTTTGCTAACAAGACATTTAAGTCGTTACCTACAAGAAATCAAAGGAGTACACTTAGGCAAGTTATCTTTCAGCAAGCTGCATAAAAACACAGACCATTCAGAACATGTACTGTAGAACCCAGCTGTTTTTGTAAGTTAGTCCTTTAGCACTTACCACCACATTTCCTCCTGGCCCCTGACTTTGGACAGTTACACCCATCCATTGGTCTTCTTTACTCTCCATCTTTGGGTCAGCTGCGGAGTATCATAAAACAGCTTCAAATATTAACAGTTCACTACATTTTCTTTTTTTCTGAGTTTGTTTTTTGCTTGTTTTTTCTTGAAGCCCGTATGTCAGGAGAGCCTCTTTATACAGAACACTCAATAGTCTGCAGGTGGCAGTGTCTGTACATTTTATCACTAACGGCATCCATTTAAATCTTCAGCCTATTACTTCACGTTACATCAATTTACAAATAAGAGTAAGAATCTACCAAGATTTAAGCATCTTATACTACCTTAGCAATTAAGCTACAACTCACTCTGATGCAAAAAGTAGTTACGTATAAATCCCTAGAAGCAGCTGTCTGATACTGATACACTGCCTCATAAAAGGACATCAAATACAAAGAATCAGACAACTGTTTCAATTCAAAACAAAAGCACTGAAGAACTTACTCTCCTCATCAAATCTGACACGCATGCAATTTGTATTTGGAGATGCAATGTCACAGCTGTACAGTCCTCCCGTTCTGTTGGCCTGCTGGGCTGGAAAGGCCTTTTCCCGAGGAGCTCCAACCAGCAATCTGCAGGGAAAGAAAAATAATTTGAAGGAATATTAGAAAAGAGAAAGGCAACAGAATCAGGAAGTGTTTTCACCATATTGCTAGAGGTTTGACATAGCAACATTTGAGGATGTATGAAGAGCTACATTACAACACTGCTCTTTTAAAAACAGAAAGGGTGGGGAGGGGGAGGAGAGAAGCTGTATAGTAGTAATGCAGATTACAATTACTGGACCTGCAAGCCACTACCTGTACTGTTATTACTTCAATTATTGTTGCAATCTTCATTGAGAGTGGTTGATAAAAAGTAGGTGTCTGGCAGTTTTGGGAAAAATCATCTTTTTATCAGTACATCAAGAAGGGTATTTTTTGCCTTACTAGGAATCATTGGTAAGGGTGGGAAGTGTCACTAAAATGACCAGAAACCCCCCACAACAGTAAATACAGTTGTTCTCAGGCTGTCTTCTAGTTTTACACCAGTCCTATGCCACTGTTTACCTGAATTTAAAGGCACCTTAGTATCTCTGACCAAAGCAAGATCCCTTCTGGACCAAGGAAGTGTTCACTGAACTGTTCCAGGCTCTGGAAAAACATGAACTCCCCCTCTCCACTCCTTTGCAAGATACTTCATTTTGAAGCTGAAAACGGTCTTCTCCAAAACATCTGCCATCAAGAACAAGCTATTTCCACAAATTACTTATTCCTCCTCTTAAAGAGCTACTCTAACAAGCTCTCCTTAGATAATGCTCTGGTAACCAAATACAAAGGTTCTTATTTTAAGCACTAAGTAAAGCAAATTTCCTTCTGTATAGACTGTACATCATGAGTATTATCACAAAACCAACAGCAGGCGTATTTACTTGCAAAATAAGGTGTGTCTGAAGAAGTCTTACACTGTCTGTTTCTTTGTAGTGTCACACACACAGAAGCACAGCTGCCTCTCAGGCAGCTGACTGAAATAAGTAGCAACCAGTGTGCAGTAGCCTGTAGAAGAAGAAGGATGGATGGGATGGATGGGATGGATGCTGAACCAGACTGTGCTTCCTGACCCTCAGACATAGAACAGTTGAAAGAAGATATCTCTGACATTACGGTGTCAAGTACAGCAAAGATAAGACTACAGTTGGATCCACAAGGCTCGAAGAGGACCTCAAACCCTCATTAATATCCAGCTCTAGTTCTGCTTTGTTGTGCCAGTGGGTCAAAGCACATTGTTGTCCATCAGAATGCTATTTTTACTAAAAACATGACTCACTCTTTTTCATGTCTAACAGTGCAGACTGGATCAGTTACGATAATATGTAGTTTTTCTTACTAAGGAAATGTTTATTCACTGTCCCTAAAGTAATGAGAATCAAAATTAAACTGGTGTGTTATCAGAAAACATGCTTTTTCTAAAACAAAATTTTATCTGTATTGTGAAACAAATTGCACTACCTCTATAGGACTAAATTCTCCCACAATCCGTAATTTATCCTCCTCATGAAGGTAAGCCTCCTGAATGCTGAAACATTCAGGTAAAGTATTTGCCTTTGGACCATACACAGGACACACAATCTGGGTGGGGTTTGGCTTAAAAGGTTTTCTGCTTTTCCCTCTATGTACATCTGCCATCTTTTTCAAACATTTTTTCAGAAACAGCAGTCATCACAAGATTTTGCAAACAACTATGATTTTAGAAAGACCATCAATAATTGAATTTTCTCATTTTGGCAACAATGCATTTAGCTGTAATTTCTTAAGAGCAATTCTTCTGCAAAGCATCTGAGTTATTCCTAATGGAAGAATAGATACATTTTTTTCTCAGTTCTGTTATTGCCCAGGGAAAGACAGGTGACCTTTTTTTAACATTAACAACCATAACTTTAAGAAAGCAGAGGTACTCATTTCCTAACTTACAGAAATTTTTATTACTTCTACTTTTTCAAAGTTCGGGGTAGGGTAAAAGTGATGTATTGAACTTAAGAGAAACCAAAAACCCTTTGTTTCAACTTTTCAAATTTAAATACCTAATTTGGTTTAATTTATCCACCTGCATATTACTGACAGTGGCAGTGCTGGGTCAAGAAAATTAACCCTATTCTTTTTTACAGGATAGTGATACAATGTCCCTCTCGCTCTAGCTGAATGATATTTTACAGTACACCATGATCCTGATGACATGAGAGGACCTACTGAAACACTGAGGATTCAAAAAAACAGCATTGCCAACAGAATACAGAGTGGGACGATGTGCCACCTGCCATAAAATGCCACAAACATTCAGTGGCATCTCAGACACTGCTGAGATGAAAAATGAAATTGCTCACTTTTCTTTAAAAATGTAAGGTTTCCATCCAACACAACCTCAAAGGCAACAGGCAACCATGGATTCTTCCCAATGCCCATACCCCCCAACCAAATATTATTTTCCACTGTAAACAAAGAATTTCAAAGCAGACTTATTTAAAACCCTCCAGATTTCAAAGAACTGTTATAAGGAATCCTGTCACTAATCTCCAAGTGTCATCAAATACAAAAACTTGAATTCTCTTGGGTACTTCACTGCAAGTCCTTACAACACAAGGCCAACAGAAAAACGCACTATAAGTAAGTGCTCACAAAAGATTAGATCAGTTCAAGTATAATACTATGGTAAATCCTGAAATGCATTTTCAAGTAGCTACCAAAGACGCATTAAAAAGTGGCACAACTCCTTAGTACTTGTTTACTACTTTTCTGCCCTAAAGACCAGAGCAGAGAAGACTAAACCTATGCCCCTGGGTTCTGCAAGACAGGTTACTGAGGTGATGGTTATAAACATTATGAGGATTACCAATGCTAACAGGAATCTAAGAAAGTCACATGCATCTAATCTTTGGTTGAATAAATGAAGCAAAACAAAAAATTCCTTGCAAACATACTGTCAGTTCTGATCGACAGAGCTGCTGTTCAGCTTTCCCACCGTTTAAAAGGGGCATTTGAAAAATCAAAATTCTACTGTTAAAGCCAAATTACTTAATTTAAAAGTAAAAAGTGTGCACAGAATAATGGAAGTATGATGTGAACCATGCATCAGTGTGAATTTCAGCATGACTGCAGTAGTATAAATGAATCAGCTCATATATTGAGCTGTGCTACGTGCTCAACAGTTCTTCCTAAAAGATACATTCCAGTCATTACTCTCTGGCTACTTACTCAGCTGTGATTTAATAGAAGAATTTTAATCAAGTTTGAGCTCATTATGCCAAAACCTGGTTAGCTTTCTCTGCAGCTATGCATGTTCTATTTTAGCTTTCTTACTGGCAAGCAAAACCTCTTTCTGCAGGTCAGAGGTAAGGGCAGAGTGAGGGGATGCTCTTCCATCATATCGGCACATATCTCCTCATATCGGCACATGAAACACAGACACTTAAAACCTTGGAACTTTTCCTCTGCAAATAAAGAGTGACAAAAACAAATTCTTAATTTCTCTTCACCTATGCTCATAGTATGATTCATTTTATCCACTGAGACTTCTCCCTGAAGGTTTGTAGATATGACATGGTCTACTGTAACTACTTCCAATTAGGTTTGAATGTCCAAAATCCTGTTCCAGAATCCATATTCAGATAACAAAATAACACCCCAATGTCAAGAATGCAGAGTGGGAGATGAAAACCCAAGACACTCCAACATGTAGACAATTTACGGATTTTTCTATGCCACGGCAGATTTGCCTTGTTACTCTACAGAGAACAGCAGCTCAGCCATACAGCATACTGAACATAAACATCTCTCAGCATCAGTTCCTGTCATAGACTTAGTTTTTTATTATTTGAGTTATGATTAATTAGTATCTAATGTTTACCATGAGTCCAACATCAGACAAAAGCAGTATTGTTATTCCTCATATAAGTTACAGAAACAGATGCTTCTAACTGCTTGAATCCTGATTTTCCCCATACATCTTGCTTCAGTACATACACAACATCCTAACTGGGTTTCCCCTGGGCCAATCAGACTGCACAGGTGTTAATCTACAGAAATGTAACATAATAAATTATTAAAATAATTTAATTTAAAAGAAGCATCTATCAAGTGACAGCGTTAGGGGAAAAAAATCTGAATTCTCTCATACCCTGTCATGAAACTGCAATGTTTTTTTAGCTCTAGTTATAATTAAAACATGTGTCTTCCAATTTCAAACTGAAATTCTGATTTTTAACCAAATGAATCAGTCCAGTTGCTCTATCGATTAGAGTTATTTTCATTATTGATTTATCTTAATTACTTCTTGAAGATACGTGATAATAACTGAAGTCCCACTGCCAGTTATGAGCAACTGCAACTCAGAGGAACAGATTTACGCCCTTACAGCCCTAGATTCATAGATACAAGATAATCCCCTAAGATTAGAGCTCCAGGATTGGCATATGATGCCGTTTTAAATAAGTGACCTTACTGAGGCGCACTTTTGGCTCAGGTGGGTGGTGCCTGCCCTGCACAGACACCAGTGACCCTGGCTGTACCTGCGTGTGTGAGCTGCAGCTGATACACAACAGGGAGTGCTGGACCATGCTCTCAAGACAGGGACCAGCAGAGCACCACGTGCCTCCATGGAACCCTATGGCACAGCTACACCCACCCCACCTCACTGCAGTGTTACGCTACACCCGAACACAGCAGCAGAGGCAAGAAAAGTTCCATTTCACCACTTATGCCAAGCACTACTAAAGTCTCAGAAAAGGTATCAAGACATCTTACTGACTTTATCCACATCTGGAGCAGACCTTTGGATAAGTGTGCCTCATAAACCCACATATATCCAAGAAGAAGTTGAGAACTCACTGCCCACATGTTCAGGTAGGCACCAAGCCTCAGTTTGTCAACTGCTGTTGACCAGTATTGCAAAATTGTAAACACAGGTCTGATTCCAGATGAACAAACCGTCTATGAACTGTAGGACTGGCTGCATTTAGAAGAGCCCTTCTATTCTGGATTCTGGAACAGCATGATTTATTGAATGCAACATACAACATTCCTCTGGACTTGCACTGAGA